GAGCCCGACGAGGGCCACCCTGAGAAGAGACTCTCTTCATATTTCACAATCCCATACATTCCAACGTTTTCGGAACAATTTAAGCGAATTCTTCGCAATCATGACACGGGAGTTTCTTATTTCGACTTAAATAAACTTTGTAATTTTGTCAAGGTCCATAAAGACATAATGCCAAAAGATTCGTGTAACAACGTTGTGTATAAAATCTCGTGTAATGATTGCGATGCGTCATATGTCGGCCAAACTAGCAGACAGTTAAAAAAACGAATTTCTGAACACCGAAATCACATCCGACGAAATACCTCACAATCTTTGGTTATAACTAATCACAGACTGGAATTCGGTCACGATTTTAATTGGGAAGAATCTGAGATTTTAGACAGGGAGTCCTCGTTGGGCAAAAAGCTTGTCTCTGAAATGCTGTTTATCAAGCGCCAAAAAATAGCTTGAACTTGCAGAGTGATACAGAGGACTTGCATCATACATTTGCGACGATAATCGATAATTTATCGAAAATATGAGTTGTTCGTTCACGCGTCGGTATGTTTGTTATCGTTGAGTCAACTGCGCATGTCCTTGGTTGAGTCTATATTTACGTCTTGACAACGAGGACATATTTATACAGTTCGTCATCGAATCTCGAATAGAAATAAGGCATATTATATTATTAATTGTAAAAAAGCGCGGAATCTGGTGAGCCATGTTTCTAACTATTAATTTAAGCAAAAAAGTTTATTCACGTGTAATATTTTTCGATATTTATTTTTTATTTTTACTCGATTTGCTAGATCTGCTGTAACGTTGCATAGCATAACTATAGTATATATTTAATTGATTGTTGAAAGCAGAGTGCTTACTAGACCTCGGCGGGATGCAATTTAGTGTCACTTACGCATCGAGAATAAATTCGTTTAATGTAACGCGTCACTATCTGTAATATATATATATTGTTAACATCGCGCTGAAAAAGGATCAAAAGATCCGAAACGTTCGCTTTTTGTTATTATAATGTGTTTTTTAATAAACTAATATTGAAAAAAGAAAGAAGTGTTGTTGCTTTTCTGCGCTCCAACAATCGCGTGTTGGCTCTTATGTCATTTTCTTTTTAATTTTTTGATTACTTGAGCCAAATCTCTAATTATTAAATTTAGAAAGGAACTGTTTAGTTCTTTAAAATTATGTATAATATTATGTAAATTATGTATTTCTTACTGTACTCTCTGTTTAAAATTATGTATAGCTCTAACTGTTTAGTTCTTTAAAATTATATATTTCTAACACACTGCAACTTGATAGAAAAATTTTCTCGAGAAATTCAACTCAAATTTCATAAACTATAACATTTTATCTACAAAACGATTTTTTTAAATTTTTCTACGATTTTTTTTGTCCGAGTAATATGATTTTGAATATAAATTAGTACTTTTTAGATATGATATCGATAAAGGGCGAAAAATCATTGTAGACAAAAAAGAAACATTTCGAAGTTTGAAATTTCAATTTTAACGCGTTATCGGTATTTAAATCGTTACCGGTTTTTTAAAATTTTTTATCTTCCTTGTTCTGTGCTTTAAAAAAGAACATTGTTTTGTTCCTTAAAATTATTATATATGTATTTTTAATATTTGCAGTTCGATAAAAAAATTTTTCTCAAAAAATTCAACTCAAATTCCATAAACTACAATATTTTGCCTACAAAACGCTTTCTTAAAATTCTTCCTACGATTTTTTTTGACTGAACTACATGACTTCGAAACCAACATTGTTTTTATGTGAAATGACGTATATCGCCGGCATTAGCGTTGTCCAATTGGAGATTGCCGGTCGGATTTGCATATTGTGTGTATATGTGTGCACGCACCTACGCGCACACACATACATACCCAGAGCAGAAAGGATTTTATGTTATTAAATATTGCGGGAGTAACGAATTGCAAGGTTCTTATCTCTGCTGTGTAATACACACACTTACACACGATGTGCAAAATCACACCGATAGCCTCCACGGTATTGAATAACGGTAATGCTGGCGGTATACGTCATTTCACATAAAAAGAATGTTGTCCGAAGTCATGTAGCTAGGTCAAAAAAAATTGTAGGAAAATTTTTTAGAAAAAGCGTTTTGTAGGCAAAATGTTGTAGTTTATGGAATTTGAGTTGAATTTCTCGAGAAAATTTTTTTTATCAAGTTGCAGCGTGTTAAAAATACATAATTTTAAAGAACTAATCAGTGTATTCTTTTTTAAAACATAGAATAAGGAAGATAAAAATTTTTTAAAACCTCTAACTACGCGTTAAAGTTGAAACTTCAAAATGCTTTTTTAATTTTTTATCTACGATAATTTTTCGACGAGTTTCAGTGATTAGAAAATAGTCTAATTTTTAGGATTCAAAAAGTGTTCCCTATTTTTTTTTGACTAATGTATTTATACAGGGTGTCCCAAAGCACCAGTATACTCCTTTTAAAATGAAAATAAATGGCTATCATCAAAAATCGCGAGCAATTTTTAAATAAATCGGGTAGGCTCTATCAAATAGTGATATTTTCAACTTTTGATTCTGACCGGAAATACGCAATCCGGATCGGAAGTTGAATTTTTTTAGGGGAACATGGTATTTTTTATTACAGATTCGAATTGTACGTGAAAAAAGTAAGAAACTTTTGTATCAAACTTTTGTTTTCCAAAAAGTGCCACTGTCAATCTTAAACTTGATTTTGAAAATAACTGTGATGAAATAATAAGGTCAATTTTAAACAACTTTAAACTTGTCAATGATTGAAGTCAAAGCATTAACCGATCATTGTCGGGCATAATCGAATTCAACCGAAGTTTATAGAGTCTCTTTTTATCAAAGCCTCTTAATCAGTAGCTAATGCTTCATCTATCTATTCAGATGTCAATGGTAAACCATGGTATACATAAATGACTGTAGTATACATAAAATGTTATTAAGGATATAAAAGAAAATGCGTACTCCGCATTCCGCATATAACCAAAAAAGTGAAGCCAATATATAGAAAGAGACAAATAATTTAGCATCTAGCCCCTCTGTTCTTTGTCTCTATCTCTTTTTACAGATGAATTGCAAAAAAAACAAAAATAAGAAAGAGAAGAAACGAGCCCTTCTATTTTCATTTTCTTTCTAAATATTGGTTTCACTCAATTAGACGGCAAAACAAAAGACATTCGAAGTCCATGTATACTACATCCATGATATAAACTAATTGTGAGAATAGCGAGATTATCAATAATGTAGCATCTATGGCTAATCTCGATCACTAGCAAGCAGAATGGAGATATATAAAAAGATCATAAAAAATGATAATTTCCAAGTCTAACAATAAGATTAAATATATAAAGAAATTACTGTTTAAGTATCTTGCAAACATTTCTATTCACTATACAATCTCTTATATATATCGTATATCTCTATATATCATGTAAATTATTGTTACTAGGGGTTTGCATCATTCTCATTGATATTCAATCGTATATATATATATATATATATATATATATATATATATATATACACAGGGTGTGTCATTTTAAGTGATGCAGCTGAATGTCTCTTAAAATAAAAGAGATTGGGAAAAATGTTTCAGACAATAGTTGTATGGTTTCGAGGGGGATATAAGACGGTGCCATTTGTTTGACCTTGATGATTAGTTGAAGGTTACGTGAAGGTCATCTCCTAGTTATTTTTAAGAAAAAGAATGTAATTGTTAATTGCAAATTACATTTTCTTTCAAAACAATTATGTGTTTTCTTTACACCAATTGATTCCTCTCATTATTTTGGACATAAAAGTATTAAGGTAAGATAATCGAGAAATATTTTACAAGATATTTTACAGTTTATGTAAAATTAAGAAATGATTTCAAGCCTCATAACTCGGGAAGTACTTCAAGAAAACTAACTTAATTATAGTGTTTTGGAAAGCTCTCGAGCTACAAGAATATGTAAAAGCATATAAGGTGTTCCATTTAAACAGTTGAATGTTACCTTCGCGTGACCTTCAGATGACTCTTCAAGGTCAAACTGATAATATAATCTTATGTTCCCCTTGAAACCATACAACTATTGTCTGAAACATTTTTCCCATTCTCTTTTACTTTAAGAGATATTCAGCTGCATCACTTAAAATGACACCCTGTATATATGTATATATAAAATAAATTATACGATATTGATTAGAATATTTAACTGTAGACTAGATTTAACAGAAATATGACAAAAAACAATCTTATTAAGTCTCGTAAGTCAAATTGTGCAATCGATTAATAGCGATTAAGCTCAATAATAGTTTTTTTCAACTACTGGCCATGTATAAATTCATATGTGCACTTGCATATTATGTCATTTATAGATTATAGGCCGATCTACAAAAACATTCTCGCATCTATACAAATATAAATTTTTTACGTCGAGTAGATCATTAACCAATAATATCTATAAATCTCGAATCCAAATAACTAAATCATCAGAATTATATAGAAAATAAAATAAGCTCTCTCTTTTACAATTGATAAAATAGGAAAATGAATATATTTTAAAATTATTAATATATTGGATTAATATATTGGATTTCTCTGAAAAGTATCCATAACATTGCAAGTTATTCATTTATTAATATAGCCGAAAAAAAATATGAATAAAATTATCTGAAAAGAAAATTTAATCAAACAAATTCTGTTCTCACTCATTGAGGGTTTTATAGAAACTATCTAGACTAGACATTCTGTATTCTAGGACTATGCCTTCAACGCAGTTTTGATTGAGTATATAAGAGGAAAAACTGAAGGCACGTCCTTGATTGAGAGAAAGCGATTCTCCTCTACGAAAAAGGAAAATTACAATCATTACTTAACATTAAAATTCAATAAACTTATATCAGAATAACACATTCAAATAATTTATCGTTTTTAAACATAAAATTATATTTAAAATACATGTAAAGATTATGAAGTTTGGAGACCAGGAGCATTAAAAAAATGTTATTATTAGCTGGCGGTCATTATTCAAAAATGTAAGTTCGTTGAATTATGCCATGTTGTATTTTTATTACATATAATAAATGAAAAGATTGTATACGATCCGGCAGGACTGATGTCCCAGTATGCTTGTGTGACGCTCACAAATGTCACACTCACACAAACGAAGGGCGCATGTATGTGGGCCGGGCAATGAAGGAGAAAGTGGAGATAGAATATTTGGGGGGGGGGGGGGGGCATTCCGATGTTGCGTCCTTCGCCCACAACACAAGAGCGAGAGAGAAAGCATTACAAGATGTGATACCGAGTTGGAGGTGTCCAATAGCCGTCTCTCTCGCTCGATGGTCAAACGAGAAAATGCGAGCGAGACAGCTATATATCGCGCGGGACACTGTGTCCCTATATACGTGTTTCGTGCGCTCTAGTATCGATATGCATATTTTCTTTTCTTTCTTTAAGAAATGCAGCTTAACAGCGTGCCCTAAAGGTCGGCATTCATTCTATTAAATTAAATAATAATTAAATTATATAAAAAGATAAAATTTAATAAAGAAAAAATTTTTGACTCACGTTTCGCGTGTGTGCGTATGACGTTGACCGTTCACACATACATACCGGGACATTCCTGTCGGTGCGTGTACATAATCAAATTAAGATAAAATGTATTAAATATGCTTCTTATACTGCCATTATATTACTCGAAGTTGTCAAAATTCTTTAAATTTGCTTATACAGCACCATTAAATTATGACGATTTTTTGGACCATTTCTTCGAAATATTTCTTGCACACGAGTTGATGCTCCTGTCTCTAGTCTTTATAGTAGAGATTTGAAAGACAAATTTTGAGTTAATTTTGAGTAATTTATTCAAATCTTGTTCGTTTATTCAAAATGATCAGCAAATTATAATTTGTCTTTTTATTGAAATTATTTAATAATTTTTTGCTTTCTTTTTTTCATTCGATTCATTGACTATTCGATTTTCGTCTGCTATATCGGAATCAATATTAATTAAACTCTTTAAAATAATCTTTAAAATTATAAATGACTTCGCTTGACTTTTCAACAACATTCATGATATCACGATAATAATAGGTAAGCAAGTTTTTTACATTTTGGCAGATCGTTATGCTTTAGAAACTCTCATCGATGCCTCGATCCCGCGCTAAGTTGAAAACTTCAAAATCACTGTCGGGCGCCTCAGGTATATCAGGTGCAATTAAAATCTCAGGACGCAGTGCCACGCAATCCCTCGGTGAACATTCGACGCGCCCTTCGGAACCACAGCTGCATTCAACGCAATTCCCAGTCGAATGCGGTAGAGTCTCACCCTGTCGATATTCTCTCCCTATAATTTAAATCTCACAATATATAAAAAAGCCGGAGAGAAATAAATACGTGTGTGTGTGTGTGTGTGTGTGTGTGTACAGGGTGTGGTGTACATGTTTAATAACATGATTTTAAAATAATCTCGATTCCCAAAAGTTTTACGTAAGTCTTAAAATTTTTACAATCGAGAACCTATGAATGTAAATAAACATGTTTATTATAATATTGGTGATCTCTAAAAGTTTTCTTCATTTTTAATTTATTAGTGTATCTACGTGTACTGTTCATGATAAATTACTCAATGCAAGACACGATTAATATGATATTTATTTATACTAAAAGTGATTAATGTTTAAGAGAAACAATTCGAATATACAACCAAGTTAGAGCTTGTGTTGATATTAATTCTGAAATATTCGAAAGATTCTTGTAGTTGGTTATTGCTCGTTTCAGACAATATATCATCGTAGAGACATCTACGAAGATAATAATAACTTAAAAGAAAGTGAATGCTGCCTTATACATTTGCCTTATATACAGCGTGTCCCAAAAGTATAGACACACCTGATTTTCTTGGAAAATAAGCGTGCTAGAAAAAAACGTCAATAACAAAAGTTTCGGGAAATCAAACGGTGCATCTAAGAGTGACCTTGAGTTTGACCTTGAGCTTGACCTTCAAGGTTATTTGAAGGTCAAAGTGTTTTTTTTTAATGGGAACCCCTATTTTTGATTGTATATTCTTATAGCTGACCTCGAGAGCTTTCCAAAACACTATAATAAAATATTTTTCCCTCAAGCATTTATCGAGTTATAAGGTTTCAAATCATTTCTTAATTTTACATAAACCATAAAATATCTTGTAAAATATTCACTTTTCGATTATTTTACCTTAATACTTTTATGTACAAAATAATGAGAGGAATCAATTGGCGTAAAGAAAACATATAGTTGTTTTTAAGAAAAAATATGTAATTTGCAATTAACAATTCCATATTTTTTCTTAAAAACAACTGTATGTTTTTTTTACACCAATTGATTCCTCTCGTTATTTTGTACATAAAAGTATTAAGGTAAAATAATCGAAAAATGAATATTTTACAAGATATTTTATGGTTTATGTAAAATTAAGAAATGATTTGAAGCCTCATAACTCGATAAATGCTTGAGGGAAAAATATTTTATTATAGTGTTTTGGAAAGCTCTCGAGGTCAGCTATAAGAATATACAATCAAAAATAGGGGTTTCCATTTTAAAAAAACACTTTGACCTTCAAATAACCTTGAAGGTCAAGCTCAAGGTCAAACTCAAGGTCACTCTTAGATGCACCGTTTGATTTTCCGAAACTTTTGTTATTGACGTTTTTTTCTAGCACGCTTATTTTCCAAGATAATCAGGTATGTCCATACTTTTGGGACACGCTGTATATAATATATATACAGGGTCTACCAAAAGTGTGGAAACCCCTAAATATCTCGGAAAATATACGTTTTACAGAAAAGTGTTTCCAACAAAAGTTGTAGGGTTTAAGAAGATCTATATACTGATTCTATCAGTTTGACCTTGGATGGCGTCGTCAAGGTCAGGTCAAGGTCACATTGACTTTTTTAAATGACACCCCCTACATTTGATTGCATATTCTTATAGCTTAATTCAAGAGCTTTCCAAAACACTATAATAATGTTCATTTTTATTAAGTACTTTGCGAGTTATGAGGGTTGAAATAATTTCTTAATTTTACATAAACCATAAAATATCTAGTAAACCATTCATTTTTCGATTATCTTACCTTCATACTTTTATGTACAAATTAATGAGAGGAATCAATTGGTGTAAAGAAAACACATAGTTGTTTCTAAGAAAAAATATGTAATTTGCAATTAACAATTCCATATTTTTTCTTAAAAACAACTGTATGTTTTCTTTACACCAATTGATTCCTTTCATTATTTTGTACATAAAAGTATGAAGGTAAGATAATCGAAAAATGAATGGTTTACTAGATATTTTATGGTTTATGTAAAATTAAGAAATTATTTCAACCCTCATAACTCGCAAAGTACTTAATAAAAATGAACATTATTATAGTGTTTTGGAAAGCTCTTGAATTAAGCTATAAGAATATGCAATCAAATGTAGGGGGTGTCATTTAAAAAAGTCAATGTGACCTTGACCTGACCTTGACGACGCCATCCAAGGTCAAACTGATAGAATCAGTATATAGATCTTCTTAAACCCTACAACTTTTGTTGGAAACACTTTTCTGTAAAACGTATATTTTCCGAGATATTTAGGGGTTTCCACACTTTTGGTAGACCCTATATATATATATATATTTATATATATATATTTAGGTGGCCTTACTTAAATGGCCTCCTGTATATATATATATATATGTATATATACAGGGTGAGGCATCTAAAACAGGCCACCTGAATAACTCCGTTGGTAAGCCGAATATAAAAAAATTGTTCAGACAAAAGTTGTATGGTTTCAAGGGGGACATATGATGGTGTCATTAGTTTAATCTTGAAGAGCCACCCGAAGGTCACGTGAAGGTCAGCTCCAACTTTTTAAATGGGACACCTTATATGCTTTTGCATATTCTTGTAGCTCATCTCAAGAGCTTTCCAAAACACTACAATTATGTTAGTTTTCATTAAATACTTTCCAAGTTATGAGGCTTGAAATCATTTTTTAATTTTACATAAACCGTAAAATATCTTGTAAAATATTCATTTTTCGATTATTTTACCTTAATACTTTTATGTACAAAATAATGAGAAGAATCAATTGGTGTAAAGAAAACACATAATTGCTTCAAACAAAAAAATGTAATTTGCAATTAACAATTACATTTTTTTGTTCGAAGCAATTATGTGTTTTCTTTACACCAATTGATTCTTCTCATTATTTTGTACATAAAAGTATTAAGGTAAAATAATCGAAAAATGAATATTTTACAAGATATTTTACGGTTTATGTAAAATTAAAAAATGATTTCAAGCCTCATAACTTGGAAAGTATTTAATGAAAACTAACATAATTGTAGTGTTTTGGAAAGCTTTTGAGATGAGCTACAAGAATATGCAAAAGCATATAAGGTGTCCCATTTAAAAAGTTGGAACTGACCTTCACGTGACCTTCGGGTGGCTCTTCAAGATTAAACTAATGACACCATCATATGTCCCCCTTGAAATCATACAACTTTTGTCTAAACAATTTTTTTGTATTCGGCTTACCAACGGAGTTATTCAGGTGGTCTGTTTTAGATGCCTCACCCTGTATATATATATATATAAGGGTCTACCAAAAGTGTGGAAACCCCTAAATATCTCGGAAAATATACGTTTTACAGAAAAGTGTTTCCAACAAAAGTTGTAGGGTTTAAGAAGATCTATATACTGATTCTATCAGTTTGATCTTGGATGGCGTCGTCAAGGTCAGGTCAAGGTCACATTGACTTTTTTAAATGACACCCCCTACATTTGATTGCATATTCTTATAGCTTAATTCAAGAGCTTTCCAAAACACTATAATAATGTTCATTTTTATTAAGTACTTTGCGAGTTATGAGGGTTGAATGATAGAGTAGCGCCGGTATTAACATTATCCAAGGTGTACTACATGGAGGTTACTCGCTCGGATTTGCATCTGTTGTGTGTGTGATCCAGCTAACTAAGGCAAGATCGATTCCTCAACATATCCTCATATTTCGCTGAAGTCAAATTGCCAAAAAATTGCTCCATAAAACGTGTATGAAACGTCTCGTTAGTTCCTTCATTTACCGCTATGTGACGCACTACATGCAGTCTAACTCGCATTTAAAATTCAACTAAGAATGTATAAAGCTATCAAAGAACGAGCACCTTCTAACTTCAGCTTTGAGCAAGCAGAAATTAATTGTTATCGTCCAAATACAACGTACGATTAATTAAAATTAAACGTTTTAAAAATGGCTGGCGACTTGTCGGAACGTGAAAGAATCACTATCCTCATGATGCGTGGATGGGGTGATAATGAAAGATCGTTCTCTGATGTCGTTCGATTATTTAATGACACGTATCCGAACCGTCGAATTAATAAGTCCACTGTGTTAAAAACAATAGAACGTTTTAGACAAACTGGTAGCGTAAGAAATCGCTCTAAGTCAGGAAGACCATTGTCTGCAACCAACGAAGAAAAACAACTTGATGTTCTGCAGACATTTATTGAAGATCCCAATTCTAGTGTTCAGAGAGTCGCTCAAACTCACGATATTGCTCCCATGTCGGTTTGAAGAATTTTAAAGAAGAACAAGTTCCATCCATATAAATTGCAATACGTTCAAGAATTGCAAAACGGAGATGAGGAGCGTCGTATACATTTCTGTGAAAGAATGATGGCACTAATAGATGTCCGGCCCATCTTCCCTTATCAAATTGTTTTCACAGACGAGGCAACTTTTACCTTAACGGGAGAAGTTAATCAAAATTTTCGTTTCTGGTCAGATGAGAATCCGAATTGGGTGCGGGAAACTCACACACAACATCCACAAAAAATAAATGTATGGTGCGGAATAATAGATGGCTATTTAATAGGGCCGTTTTTTTTTGAAGAATATTTGAACGCTCAAAGGTATGAGAGATTACTTGTTGATCAAATAATTCCAGCCATACAGAATACTTTTCCAAATAATTTCCAAGAAATATGGTTTCAGCATGATGGAGCTCCTGCTCATTTTGGTGCAGGACCACGTCGTATTTTAAATGAGACTTTTCCGCTACGGTGGATAGGAAGAAGGAACGGAAATGAGGGAGGAGAGGATTGGCCACCTCGGTCACCAGATCTAACTCCTCTTGATTATTATCTATGGGGATATCTGAAGAGTAAGGTTTACAGAACAAAACCTAAAACCATTCACGAATTGATACAGCGAATAAGGGATGAAATGGCTTTGATACCTTTTGAAACGAATCGTAAAGTCATTTCTACATTCTACCAAAGATTAGCATATTGTCAGGAAGTAAATGGCAGCCACTTTCAGCATTTACTTTAACACATTGAAACACATTTGCAATCGTTTGGTGCAACCTAACCTGATCTCTGTATACACGCACCGCACGCACGCACACGCACACATTTCGAACAATTATTATGATAAATGAGCATCCACAAATTTATTTACTGTTTACTATGTCGATTGCTTTCCAGGTCTTTAAATGCTCGATTGTAATTTGGTTGAGTCTTTGCTTTTGCTGACTGGATCCACGACCGATCTTGCCTTAGTTAGCTGGATCACACACACAACAGATGCAAATCCGAGCGAGTAACCTCCATGTAGTACACCTTGGATAATGTTAATACCGGCGCTACTCTATCATTCAACCCTCATAACTCGCAAAGTACTTAATAAAAATGAACATTATTATAGTGTTTTGGAAAGCTCTTGAATTAAGCTATAAGAATATGCAATCAAATGTAGGGGGTGTCATTTAAAAAAGTCAATGTGACCTTGACCTGACCTTGACGACGCCATCCAAGGTCAAACTGATAGAATCAGTATATAGATCTTCTTAAACCCTACAACTTTTGTTGGAAACACTTTTCTGTAAAACGTATATTTTCCGAGATATTTAGGGGTTTCCACACTTTTGGTAGACCCTGTATATATATATATATACAGGGTGCTTCATTTTAATTTCCCCAGGTAAATATTTCAGAAAATAATGAAAATTCGAAAAAATGTTTCAGACAAAAGTTGTACGGTTTTGAGAAGGACATAAGGTAATGTCATTAGTTTGACCTTGAAGAATCATTTGAAGGTTACCTTCAATTTTTTAAATAGACACACAGCATGCTATCGGACAGAATTCTGTCTGTTGATTATAGATATAAAACTTTGAGTGGTCTCCCGACCAGAGGTTGCTCGCAGGGCGGCGTTCTCTCTCCGCTCTTGTGGTGGACAAACTGCTGATCAAATTACAAGAAGCCGGCCTCCTCGTTTGTGGCTATGCGGACGACGTGGCTATAATCGTGAGAGGCAACTTTCTCTCAACTCTTAAGGAGCTTATAAATAAAGCACTTAAGATTATTCAAAACTGAGTCAAGCCAAAGGAATCACGGTTAATCCGTAACATTAATCCGTAACGTTAATCTAAGACTGAGGCTATGATTTTTATCAGAAAATACAAGCCCGAAGCCATAAGGCCTTTGAGGTTCTGAGGTAAAGAGCTACTCATACACTTCTTCGGTGAAATACCTAGGGATCCATCTTGATCCCAAACTAAGTTGGAGATTTCACTTTGAAGTCAAACGTAAGAAATTTTACATCTCCATGTGAACATGTAGAAAGGCTATAGGTAAAACGTGGGGCATTAAACCCAATACTGCCCTCTGAATCTACAAAGCCATTCTACTTAATTAAAGCCATCAACAGAAATATACCTCATCTGCTCTTACAGTAGGGCAGTTATTAACTCTAGCCAAGACTACTGAGTGGTCCACGGTGATTTGGGACTGTATGCTAGCGCTCAACAGACTAAGCGAATCCAATAGGATCACCTTGGCCTGGGTTTCTGTTCATCAAGAAATTCATGGTAATAAAGTGACGGTCTGGCCTAGACACCCTCGAAGTCCCGGCTAGACAGATCGTCGGTGTCTCCTTTACCATAGGTAAAAGACTCATCAATGAATCGGGAACATCTGGTTTCTTGAAGCCAGGTTCAGGGCTGTCGTCAAGCCAAGCTTTTGCTGAACTGACTCTTTTTAAAAGGACAGATGAACTCCTTATCATGAACAGAAAGAAGCTCAATATCTCCATTGACCTTCTCACGAGCCATGTGGCCCTCAGGGCCCACTTATTCAATCTCGGCTTGACCGAGCGGAAAAACTGCCGACTATGCGGCGAAGAAAAAGAGGACAGCATTTACATTCTATGTTATTGTTCCCGCATTTACTCTTAGATACTTTGGGATCATATGTTCGCTGAACCCAGTGCATTACAAAACGTGAGGATGGGCGATCTATATAACCTTCTTGTAAAGGCCAAATTGGATCACCATATATAACTTCAGACAACCACAGGGTTACAGAAGATCTTTTAGATCTAGATAACATCAGGGACTGATCTAGCCCTACCCGTCTTTCTTACTACTACTACTACTACTATTACTAATTGCAAATTACATTATTTCTTTCGAAACAGTTGCATATTTTCTTTACCAATTGATTCTTCTTATTATTTTTTATATAAAAGTAAAATAATCGAAACATGAATATTTTACAAGATATTTTACGGTTTATGTAAAATTAAGTAATGATTTCAACCTTCATAACTCGGAAAGTACTCAATGAAGAAATACTTTATTATAGTGTTTTGGAAAGCTCTCGAGATAAGCTACACGAATATGTAAAAGCATATAGGATATTCCATTTAAAAAGTTTGAGGTGACCTTCGTGGGATCTTTAGATGACTCTTCAAGGTCAAACTAATGACACCATCTTATGTCCTCCTTGAAACCATACAACTTTTGTTTGAAACATTTTTCTCAAATTACTTCGTTTCCGAGATATAAATTTGTAACACTATGTGGTCATCCTGTATACAAGATGATTCAAAACCTGATCTCTTTGAAATATGATATTCTTGAACGAATTCTAAGACTATTTTTCCTCTCGAAAAATTTTGTCCTAATTTAATTTTGGAGTTATAATAGAAAATAGTATGCTAAGACAACTGAGAACCTGCGTTGAGATGGACGGAGGCCACTTCGAACATCTTTTATAAAAACGATGCAAATCAAATCCAACCTTTTCAGAGCGACAAAATAATTTTTCGTCGAACATTCTTTAACGCAAAAGAATAAATAAAGAATGAAATAATTGAGAGAGAGAGAGGGGGAGAGAGAGAGAGAGAGAGAGAGAAATGAGGACTTCTAATCGCTATTTATCGTGTAATTAAATAACGGAAATTATTTACTTTCGAAGTAAATATTTGCAAGTAATAATAAAAATTATTAAAATAGTAATATTTTTATTGTGTAAAGTCAAGTAATTTTTAGAAGCTGTTATTTATAAGATAAACGATCCCCAGAAAGAAATAAAATCCATCAGTTTGTAACGATGCATTCCGGTGTATCGTTACGGTTCCCGGCATAACATCCGCTGAAAGCTGCCGGCAGAACACCCGCCGGGCAGAGGCAGGAGCGCGGTGCGCCCACCTTTTTTTAAGACTGCCGAAAACCGCTCGAACTAAAATTCGGCCGAGCATCGCCGAACAGAGTCGATGTGGCCCGAACCGTCGACCGGCGAAAGCCCGCGTTCGGCTCCTACCCGAATCCCTCCGAACGGGCCCGACCGTACCGTTTTCCGAAAACCCGTTCGGAAGGGGTTATACCGTCGCGCGCCGACGCGGACAATTAGCCCGTATAAAAAGGGCCACATTTTGACTCTAATCACATTTTTCCGATCCGCTCGAAGCAGTACGCTTCCGAAGCAATCCTCGAAAAATCCTACCGAACGCACAAAAGAGCCGAAGACAAGAGGTGGAGCGTGCTTCGTCTCAGAACGAGTGTTCTCGATTCCGACGCCAAAAGTGCAATCCGCCTGATCCGCAGCTGCAACCCTCACGGAAGGTGGAGTTCTGAGCCGCCCCGGATCGGGAGTTACCGATCCAGCTGCATACACATAAACCATCCTTCGCGACCCGCTCCTATACCGCACGCGCAGCGCATACATTGATTGTTACCGTCGAGCGCATACTGTATTGTTACCGCAGAGCGCATTTGCCTGTTACCGCCAAGCGCATACGTTCTAGTCGTTTGTTATTATCGATACCGACATTTTAAGCGCCGTTATTAAAGCGCATCGGCCGAATATATCGAACGCGGACTTTAAATCGCGCCGAGGAATAAACAGTTCCGCGAAAATAACCGTCGATTCCGAGAATCCAAGCATTCTCGGAGCATCGGGATTCCCCGCAGAAAAAGCGCCGCAAAAACTCGCGCCGTCTCGCGCTTCGTAAACACCGGCCGGCGTCTAATATTGTTACCGAAATTAAAGCCGCTTTTGATTTCCGTATAATCGTTTGCACCCGAATATTATACACACCACACACACACACACACACACACACACACACACACACACACACACACACACACACACACACACACACACACACACACACACACACACACACACACACACACACACACACATGCACTGTACATTCATACACATTTACAACAATACAAACACAAAACGGAACACACCGCGTATTTTATTTCCCGAACCTTGCACCGGCGATCTATCCGCGCTGTGAAAAACGCCCGAAAATACGACCGTTACAAGTTTTTTTAAAGATACGAATATTTAATCAAATTGCGATTACTATTTCGTTTTTCACTCGTCCATTTCCAGTTTATCTGTTACTTTATGTAATTTCGCGTTTGAATATTTTATTCTTAAGCGTTACGTTATAACCCTCCCAGACGGTAATAATATTGTTAAATATTGTGCAGAAACTGCAATAATAATTTAATACACTTCAATGGATCAAATATTGTGGAATAAAATTGACTGTCTGGGGAAACGGGAGAGCATTTGTGACAAGTTGCGCCGTCCCTGCCTGCCCGTTGTATCGGACTCGTGAGTAGCCAACTATTTTCTATTATAACTCAAAAATTAAGCTTTGGACAAAATTTTTCAAGAGGAAAAATAGTCTTAGAATTCGTTCAAGAATAACATATTTTAAAGACATCAGGTTGTTTTGAATCACCTTGTATATCGATTAATATAAATATTAAGAGAACTATTAAAATATTAATGAAAAACATTAATTAATACCCATAACGAGACAAGTGATCGATGCAGAAGACGTAATTGATAAGGCATTAATTTCTATATGTCCTTGTTGGTCAATCGATGAATCAGAATCTCCGGAAGCTTCCAAGTCATCCATAATGTTCGTATTCATTTTCAGAGATGAAGTGTAATTGCTCTCCATCGTGGTCGATCGCAAGGAAGATAAACCAAGCAATTTAGTGCTAGTTGAATTATAATTCTGCCACCAACAGTAAACTTCACCAACGACGCATAGGCAATGCGAATTCGTGTCATAAGATGGTATCTGAAATAAAGTGTTAAGCAAAAAAATCAAAACGGAAACTAAACTGCATTAGCGATGATCTCATCAATTTTAATGACCTTGACATTTGTTATGAAAGATCTGAGTGACATATATACAGGGTGTATCAGAGCGACCGTATCAGGCTGGTATTTCGAAAAATACGCATTTACTTGAAAAATGTTCCGAACAAAAGTTGTAGGACTTTAAGGGGCGCATTACATAGCATGGTTAGTGTGACCTTGGATAGTGTTGTTAAGGACACGGAGAAATCAATTAAAAGTTTTTAAATGGAAACCCCTATTTTTGATTGTATATTCTTATAGCTGACCTCGAGAGCTTTCCAAAACACTATAATAAAGTATTTCTTCATTGAGTACTTTTCGAGTTATGAGGCTTGAAATCATTTCTTAATTTTACATAAACCGTAAAATATCTTGTGAAATATTCATTTTTCGATTATCTTACCTTAATACTTTTATGTACAAAATAATGAGAGGAATCAATTGGTGTAAAAAACACATAGTTGTTTTAAACAAAAATATGTAATTGTTAATTGCAAATTACATATTTTTTTCTTAAAAACAACTATGTTTTTTCTTTAACTCGAAAAGTACTCAATGAAGAAATACTTTATTATAGTGTTTTGGAAAGCTCTCGAGGTCAGCTATAAGAATATACAATCAAAAATAGGGGTTTCCATTTAAAAACTTTTAATTGATTTCTCCGTGCCCTTAACAACACTATCCAAGGTCACACTAACCATGCTATGTAATGCGCCCCTTAAAGTCCTACAACTTTTGTTCGGAACATTTTTCAAGTAAATGCGTATTTTTCGAAATACCAGCCTAATACGGTCGCTCTGATACACCCTGTATATGATTTTGAGTTATTAAGATTTTTGTAATACAAAATTTTGTCTCATTTCTCGTCTTAGAAGTCCTTTTACAGGTATCAACAATGTTTTTCAAGTTCTGCGGCCTATGTTTACGTCAGCGCGGTGTATTATTCTTATTCTTATTTATAATTCCATACTTTTTACATGTATATACGAACACTTTGCACTCTGGAACTCAATGAGACAACGAGTTGAGGCTTGTATTGTGACAGGAGGTGGACATATTGAACATTTCCTCTAATTGTCTAAAATCTTAATAACTCAAAAACTAATCATTTCGGGACTTATATTGATTAACTTTTTTTTCTTCTCTAATAACATAAGGAATCCATTCCTGAAATTTTGCCCATTATTTATTTATGAAACACCTTGTATATATGTATACATACATACACACACATATATATATAATCATCGTTTATTACAAAATTATAAACAATTAAAAATAGTGAGTAACCAATGGCATAATAATAATATAAACCTCATTTTGCGTGAATAGTGAAAATCTATATGAAATTATACAATAATAGATTGTATAGTTTTGCACCGAAAACAGAGAGCGCGAACGGTATGAAGGAAACCTTGTTTCATGTAAAAAGTTGAAAATCCATGCGAGTCTATTGAATTTATTTTGGGTAAATCTGTAAATTTTCAACAAGATGTACTTTTCTTTATTTTATAAAGTACATACATGAATACAATGGGTTTCGTCCCTCCAACAAATCTGGTTTAAAACAGAAATAGGTTTGAATTAGGTTATATTTTCCAGAAGTGAAGCTTCCCTGTAAAGGAAACGAAATCCATTGTATCTATACGCATGCACTTTGCAAAGTAAAGGGAAATTCATTCTACATCTAAACTCTCACTAAGAATGCAATTTATCAAGAGACACGATAGTGTCTTGTGCTAAGTCTTGCGTAAGCAACAAGACGCTCCGTGTGTCTTTACGCGAGAATAGTTTGAGATATTCGAGATTATCATATTGAAATAATCGCTGAACGGATCGAGTTTTTTACTAAGCTTAATTGATAGCTTGAGTTTGATTTATATAAGAAAAGAGTCTTTATTTTTGCTCTACGTGCATCGTGAACAGCAATATTATAATCCAAAGTCGAAATATGAAAAATTTTCATTAAGAAACGTCTCCTTGGTCAACGCTCAAGTCCCCAATGCGCAAGCGTACAAAGTTGTACGGTTGACGCATTCGACGTAAGATTGCGCTAGCGGCGCTCCGTGATGTTAAGACTACTATATGTACAGGGTGTTTTAGACCACCCGTACACCCCTTTTCTTTCAAAAACTAAGCATTTTAGAGAAAAACGTTTTCGACAAAAATTGTATAGTTTTGAGGGGAACATAAGATGGTGTCATTCGTTTGACCTTGGATGGCATCGTTAAGATCAGGTCAAGGACACCTTTAATTTCTTAACTGGAACCTATTTTTTATTGCATATTTTATAGCTTATGTCGAGAGCTTTCCAAACACTATAATAAAGTATTTTTTCATTCAGTACTTTTCGAGTTATGAGGCTTAAAATAATATCTTAATTTTACATAAACTATAAAATATCTAGTAAAATATTTATTTTTCGATTATCTTACCTTAATACTTTTATGTACAAAATAATGAGAGGAATCAATTGGTGTAAAAAAACACATAATTGTTCCGAAGAAAAAATATGTAATTTGCAATTAACAATTACATATTTTTTCTTAAAAACAACTGTGTGTTTTTTTTACACCAATTGATTCCTTTCATTATTTTGTATATAAAAGTATTAAGGTAAGATAATCGAAAAATAAATATTTTACTAGATATTTTATAGTTTATGTAAAATTAAGATATTATTTTAAGCCTCATAACTCGAAAAGTACTGAATGAAAAAATACTTTATTATAGTGTTTTGGAAAGCTCTCGACATAAGATATAAGAATATGCAATAAAAAATAGGTGGTTCCATTTAAGAAATTAAAGGTGTCCTTGACCTGACCTTAACGATGCCATCCAAGCCATCAAACCAATGACACCATCTTATGTTCCCCTCGAAACCATACAATTTTTGTCGAAAACGTTTTTCTCTAAAATGCTTAGTTTTTGAAAGAAAAGGGGTGTAAGGTTTCTAATGACATATTGATTTGTAGTTATCCGTTATTTTTGCAATAAGAATAGCAAAGAAGTTTGAAGGATCTAAATATCTATATAGTAAGCAAAGAGGACCGTCGAATTTTAATGACGATAATAAAATATGACGGGGGTGGTGGCGGGTTCTTTGCTCATTTATTTAAAGATGTTTACATATAGTACAAAAAAGAGTGATATCCCTAAAAAAATTACCCTTTTAAAAAAAAGGTGCTAAGTCCGCGTAAAAAACAGTATATGTATTTGCACAATAGTGTATTATTAACTGTAAAAAACTACTGTATTGTATATCCTACAAAAATAATGATATCAAAAAAATTGCGCTAAGTGAAAATAAAAACTTATAAAAATACTTTAACCAAAAAAAGTTATACAAAATAGTTGTTTTAATTTTACATTATATCCTAGAAAAATAATGATATCCAAAAATTACGCTAATTGAAAATAAAAACTTAAAATATTTTAACTAAAAAAAATTGTACAAAATAATTGTTTTAATTTCCTACAAATAATATTAAAAAGTTGCGCCAACTGAATAAAAATTTTCACTATAAAATATACATATTTCTTTTTTATTTTTAATATTAAAAGAAAAATGATATTAAATGAATTGTAATATATCTATTATAAAAAATCGTTGAAAATATGAACAATCATGTACATTACAATAATCATATGCTGAATATATATCCTGAAAAGTTTAATAAAAAAAAAAAAAAAAAGAAAATGATAATACAAAATACAAAAATATAAAATTATAAAAGTGGTTATAAGATAACAATCAAAATGAATAGAGGAAAACAGGGGAAAAACCACAGTGCTAGGTTAATGATAGCTACAATTAAAAGAAAAGTTTAATATACAGGGTGTCCCATTTAACTTGACACATCGAAATATCTCGTAAAGTCTAAAAGATACGAAAAAATGTTTCAAACAAAAGTTGTATGGTTTCAAGGGGGACATAAGATGGTGTCATTAGTTTGATCTTGAAGAGCCACCTGAAGGTCACGTCAAGGTCAGCTCGAACTTTTTAAATGGGACACCCTATATGCTTTTGCATATTCTTGTAGCTCATCTCAAGAGCTTTCCAAAACATTATAATTAAGTTAGTTTTCATTAAATACTTTCCAAGTTATGAGGCTTGAAATCATTTTTTAATTTTACATAAACCGTAAAATATCTTGTAAAATATTCATTTTTCGATTATTTTACCTTAATACTTTTATGTATAAAATAATGAGAAGAATCAATTGGTGTAAAGAAAACACATAATTGTTTCGAACAAAAAAATGTAATTGTTAATTGTAAATTAACCTGACCTTCACGTGACCTTCAGGTGGCTCTTCAAGATCAAACTAATGACACCATCTTATATCCTCCTTGAAACTATACAACTTTTATCTGAAACATTTTTTCGTATCTTTTAGACTTTACGAGATATTTCGATGTGTCAAGTTAAATGGGACTCCCTGTATAATAAGTCAACACATGTTCATATAAAAATAATCAGTTGACGCTTAATTAAAACGACAGACGTTTCGATCCCGTTCGGATCATTATCAATGTCTAACAGAAAAAATTCGAAATTAATGGAAAATTATAAAAACAAAACATAAATCAAAGTCGCAATAAAGTCGATACAAACAGAATAAATACAAGAACAATATAAGATAAATCGGATATAATAAAAGGCGCGCGCGTAATTATAAAGAGAGAAAATATTAAACAGGAATTTCCACACGCGAAACGGCCATATGTGATGCTCACCTGCCAGCCTTCCAGGGCTGGTAAAAAAGCAGTCGAAAACATAATCCGTTAAACAAGAATGAAAATGTGTCTTTTTAAAGATGCTTCAATCCAGGAGAATTGCAGATATAATAATAGGAAGAAAAAAGATGGTAAAGATACTTCCAAACAAACTTAATGAAGATCTGTAAAAGAAATTATAACGGAGCAACACATATC